AAACTTACCAACAGGAATATATTTTGCAGTTTAGATGTTGGGTTTCTGTTTCTCACTTCTGTAATGTCCATCTTTGGCACAATATACTATTTTTTTTATTGCTGCAAAGTGGTTTAGAAGTGTTTCTAAAATTAAGTTATTTTTCAGATTTATAACTACCTCGACAAATACGTTGTTGGTCAGTGTTTTGCCAAGAAGGTGCTTTCAGTTGCTGTGTACAATCATTACAAGAGAATCTACAATAATATCCCAGCTAACCTGAGACAGCAAGCAGAAGTTGAAAAGCAGACTTCTTTAACACCGAGAGGTTTGTATGATGTTTGGTATTTTTTTGACAAATAAAACTTACCATTTCAGGACTCTGAATTAAGAAACCTGAGAAAGGTTTTACCTTGGCACTACATGTTCTGTAATCGAAATGATCTAAAAGAATTAATATTTAATTTAATTTTCACTATACGTGAACTTCTGTGATTTACAGGTTTGTGGTGGCATGGGTATTGCCTACTGTATTGAATGGCTTGCGTTTTTTACTGACACATATTAGGTATTTTCCTTTAACTTTTTATGAAGTGAGCCTCCTAAATTTTTCTTTCTAATCTCATTTACTGCTTAACGCTAAATCTGCTGCTTGACCTGCGAGCAACAATGCAGATGATGAAGACAATATTTCACATAGTGGATTTGATGAGTTTGAGCTTTCTAACCTCGCTCGTTGCTGTTGGCAGCATCTGTTGGTCACCATAGCATTGTTCCGTATCTGGCAGGTGTAGCTGGAGTTACTCTTGGCAGTACTTTTGCTCCTGAGTAAGTGTGTAGCTATGTCGATCTAAGTTATTTTTAGCAGCAGGATTAAGTTTCTCTCTGATTCAAAGTGTACCTTGATTTTTTTTGTTATTTTTTTTTATTAAGGGTGCTTTGTTCTGTCTTGCAATAAATAGTATGCTAAGCAAACAGAAATCTCTGTTTTTCAAATTTACATAAAGAGGTGTTTTAACTGAGAGGGGAACATTAGTAGCACTGTTCTAGTAGTGGTAGGAGAGCAGTTGTGTACCTGGCACAGGGAATTCCCTGACGCTCCTCAGGAAGATTAAATAGTGCACACCCAGAGGGACTGGCAGTGAATGTTTGTAACAGCTAGCACTTGGAAATACACCAAACCTTACATTGTAACACTAGGATATAAATGTGAGACTTTAAGGAAGCCTTTAAAAAAACCCAAAACCTGCATTTTTTCCCCCTCTACCAGGTGGTTTTAAAATGAAAATCTAATCAGAGGTAATAGTGTTACTGTTTTAAATGATACAAAGCTTGCTGTCATTTTAAAAACATGCAGGTTGGGTTTTGGGTTAATTTTGACAGCAATTAAAAATAATTCATGTGTGGATTTTTATTAGAAATAACATTCATACACAGTGATGAGGTATATTCAGAAAAGGGCAAGAGGTAGAGAATTTATAAGCTTTTATAAACTTATTTTTTATTACTGTTTTCATCCTCTCTCTTAGAATTAGAAATCAGAAGACGGGAGGATGAGTACAGATTTACAAGTAAGTGAACTCTCTCCTCATGGCCTCCTCTGCAATATCTCCTCTTTTGATGTTAATGTAGAATAGTCTTCAGTGACCACTAGTTTAAAACGCTGGGAAAAAATCTGTTGGCTTTTCATCAGCAAGTAAATTTAATTGATGGCATCAAGTGTGTTTTTACTAGAGGTGACTAGAATTTGACTTCACCTACTTCTAGGTGGAAGGCAGGTAGATTGTGAAAACACCTTTTATGAAGCTGGTTAAATAATGATCTGTCCCTTAGAATTACTCTCAGTAGACCAAGTGAAATGGATTTTATTTTTTTACTTGGATCTGAATTGGGATTATATTGGTAATGCCATACAGAATACGATGTGAGGTAGATAATGAAGTTATGCAACTGTTTTCTGCAGGGTATTTGTACTCTTCAAAGGCGCTGTCACCTTGAACCTCAGAATGCGCTTTTTTTTTTTGTTTGGGTGATGTCAGTTATATTTATTTTCAGTCCACTGGAACTCTCACTGGCTATTGAACTTCTTCCATAGCCTGGTGCAGGTCAATTTGTAATCCCAGTTACAGGTCTTCACACTGGTTTTCGTAATTTTCACTATTCTTCAATTAAAACTAATGCTCTGAAAAGAGAGAATCCAGCTCAATCTCCATATTCACGTGTAGAGACAAAAGCTGTAACAACTGAACAGAAACAAACCTTTAAGTCTTGAGAAGTAGACCTGTGCATTATTTTATAACATACCTTATATTCTTGTAGTACTTCATCATTGAGATAAACAGTTTGGATTTATTTCTTCTCACGTGTTAAAAAAAAGATACTTAAAATGAGTCAATTAGTAAGGACTGAAAATTTCTCTAGCTTTTAATGTAGAGAAATATTTTTGGATAATCCACTGTTTCCACTGGAAATTCTTTTCATAAATGCAAATATGTCCTTGTGCAAAAAAATGATCTGAACTCCTGTTTTTGTAGTAATTTTGCCATATTTCTGTTGCAGTCCTATCTGTACACCTCTGTACAGGTAGAAGTATAGGTTTGCAGAACAAAACAGAAGAAACAAGCTTTTATTGTGCATTTAAGGTAATGGCAGACCTCCTCAGTGCTCAGACAGTGCTGTTATTGTTCTCTACAGAGCTACTGCAGATTGCTGGAATCAGTCCACACGGTAACGCGTTAGGAGCATCAATGCAGCAACAGATGAACCAGCAGATACCTCAGGAAAAACGGGGAGGAGAAGTTCTAGATTCACCTAATGACGACATAAAACTTGAAAAAAGTAATATTTTGCTACTTGGACCAACTGGATCAGGTACACAGCTGCAAGTTTTTATAGATGTCAAGTTTTTCTTAAAATTGATGGTTAATGAGTGATTTTCCTCTTTTGTGATTGTCCCAGTTTGATGTATAAAAAGCTAAACCCTCAATTCCAAACTGGGATTTTTGTACTCTCGGGTCAGGGTAACAAGCTGAGCTAAATGGCCTTGAAAGGCTCACGTGGTTTTCTTCTTTATTTTTTTTTTAATGCCTGTATTTACTGACTGATTAAAAGATGCAACTTTTACTAAGCTGAAATAAAATGCATTAGAAGTTTCTCTGCTTCAGCTAGCAAGCTGAGATGCTGCAGTTAGGAGGTGTTGTCCTCTGGGACAGATCAGTTGCAGGGGGACTAAAAGAGAAATGTTCATAAGGAGTGGGAGTGTTTGTGCTGAAGTGATAGCATTTTGCAGACTATTTTGGAGAACATCCACTAAATAATATTTTAATTCTGTTTCTCCCCAACTTCAAAGCAGGAGCAATTGGACTTTGCACTGCACACTGAGTGTCTGCAAAGGACTACTGACTTATTTAATCTTTAATCTATGCATGTACAGGTATTCTGGTTTTATATTATGCGATCCTGTATGCATTTCAAGCTGCTTCAAATGTGAACTATTAGACTAATTCAGAAATACCGCTTGCAAAGGTAAAAAACACTGTTTGTAGAAACTAGCTCCCTTGGAAAATATTCTTATATGAATATTATATACACATGCTGGCATCACTCAAAATGTTTAATGACTGTAATGATGATCTTATCGCAAATATTTGGGTTTGTGTGCTCTAAAGAAATGTATGGAAGCTATAACATACAGGTTTTGTTTTATCAGGTAAAACCTTGCTGGCTCAGACTCTAGCTAAATGCCTAGACGTACCTTTTGCTATCTGTGATTGTACTACCTTGACTCAAGCTGGCTACGTTGGTGAAGACATCGAATCTGTCATTGCGAAACTCCTGCAGGATGCCAACTACAACATAGAAAAAGCTCAGCAAGGTAAACCTTTACAATATGTTCCCTGAAGTACATTCATAGACTGTGTTAATCTCACCTAAGTGCTCTGAACTTTGAGACCACCAGTGTTTTTGTAAGTTATGTTTCTGTTCAGGTATTTCAACACTTTAAATCAGAAAGAATAAACCTGGAAAGAGCTCTAAGCATATCTTGTAGTTTTTGTTCTTGTCCACAGTTGGACAAGATTACATACATTTTAGCCATCTACAGTATGGATGTAGCACAGACTGCTGCTGTCTTAAATTATGTTCTTCCCTGTGTGTAAGTTCTTGCTGTCTTAAAAAGGGGAGTCTTCCTTAAATCTATTTTCTGTAACTGCAGGAATTGTTTTTCTGGATGAAGTAGATAAGATTGGCAGCGTTCCCGGTATTCATCAGTTACGGGATGTCGGAGGAGAAGGTGTTCAACAAGTAAGTACTTCCATGGAGTGATCTGACTTCGTAAGTGAACAGTCCATCAAGCGTACATATCATCCTATCCTATGTCAAATAGCATTAGAGTACCTAGAGTCATAGTTCTGCAGTTCCTTAATTATTAATCTTGAAACCCTCATCTTTTCCTCTTGACTTGCTTCAGACTACTTCATAGAAACGTTTCAATGGAAAAAGCCTTTGCAGCTTTCAGCTAGCAAGTTGCATAACGTAGGCAAGAACAGATAACATTTTCCATTTTGATAAAACTCTTAAAGCAACTCTTTACAAAGTGCAGCTCATAATGTGCATGGGAGTCACATTAAAGGAAGATTTTTGTCTGTCCTTGAGTCTCATATGGAAAACTGATTTCTTTAGACACTGCTACTATAAAGGCCTAAGGAGCAAAAAATGTAAGTACATCTGTGAAAGTAAGCACAGTATGGTGTGCTGCTTTATATGATGCTACACAGTGGAATTTTATATTGCTTATTTCTTCTTTCCTTCCTAGGGCTTGTTGAAATTACTAGAAGGCACAATAGTAAACGTTCCTGAAAAGAATTCTCGTAAACTCCGGGGAGAAACAGTGCAGGTTGACACAACAAACATCCTCTTTGTAGCTTCTGGTGCTTTTAATGGTCTTGACAGAATTATCAGCAGGAGGAAAAATGAAAAAGTGAGTGCATCAGACTGCATTTGAACTGAAAAATTATCTTAATTACTCTTCACAGTACTGACTCCTAAAGGTCTGGCTATATTTGTAAACCCACTGAGTTTGTTTGTAGAGCAGTTCTGGCTGCAGCTCTCTGACAAAGCGTGCACCCCGTTTCTAACAACAGAGGAGTGACTGAAATCCAAATTAGCGTTTATGATAATTCACATAGCTTTTCATGTAAGCGTACTTGCATGTGTTTGCTTCACTTCTGAAGAGCCCTTTTTAGTATTTGAAACCTTATTGGGACATGTTACTAACCTTTTTATTTAAGAAAACAACCTTGCCCTTCAACTTATGTATTGATGCTTTACTGAGGAAGTTGAATGTTATAAGAAACTGATTGTGTGTAAGGAGTCTAATTTTACTACGAAATAATTTCTTGAGCTTGAATTAATATATAATGACATAATGAGTCACTGCAGATTTTTTAATGCACATAGAATATGATTTAGTTACATGAAGAGAACTTAACTATTATATTTCTGTAAGCATAACACGTGTTTGTTTTGCAGTATCTAGGATTTGGGACACCAGCAAATATGGGAAAAGGCAGAAGGGCTGCAGCAGCAGCTGATCTTGCCAATATCAGTGGAGAATCCGACCCACATGAGGATATTGAAGAAAAGGATCGCTTGCTGCGTCACGTGGAAGCCAGAGATCTCATAGAGTTTGGCATGATTCCTGAGTTTGTGGGACGCTTGCCCGTTGTGGTTCCTCTGCACAGCCTGGATGAGAAAACCCTTGTACGAATTCTTACTGAGCCACGAAATGCCGTGGTTCCTCAATACCAAGCACTTTTCAGCATGGATAAGGTTTGATTTTTTTATTTAATGACTTTTTAATATTCTTTTTTATAAATACAGTGTTTAAACAATCTAAAATACCAATTGAAATCACTTTTTCCCTCCATATGTGCACTTACCCCCTCCAAAAAAAAAAGGCAAGCTAACTTGTTAAAACCTGACTGGTTTAGACTGGATAACTCTCCTTGTGGGGCAAGGAATCTGGAAGTAGTTGAGCTGCTCTTCCTGTTAAAATTTAAATAAACATCTGTGCCCTTGCCTAACAGGCATCAAGAGCCACTTCATATGCTGTAGAGATACTTATAGTAGTTGTAGGTAAAGGGACACAGTTGATGCTGGTAATGTTAGTCAGAAAGGAGGTGTAGCTGAAGCTTTATGTACATAGCTTCAGTGCTAAACATCCTGGTCTGTAACAAGGAAATGGTTACGGTTTGTTACTTTTGGTAATGCTTGCACTATTGTACTCCACACACAGTTGACTTATACATGAAATAATTAAGGAAGCTTACCATTTTTCTGTGTAGTGTGAATTAAATGTTACTGAAGATGCATTGAAGGCTATAGCCAGACTGGCCTTGGACAGAAAAACTGGTGCACGAGGTCTTCGATCTATAATGGTGAGTAAATTAAATCTCATGTGGAGTAAATGAAGCTACCTACGCGTGTGTGTATGGACCTAAATCATCACAATTTTCAGTCAAAAACTCACTCACTTGTGGGTCTTATATGGATACAATAAGTCTTTTTCTAAAACTGTGTGGGTATTCAGAGTTCTTCCAAGAAAACTCTCTAGCTCTGAAAATCACTTGCTAACCATATTGTTAAGTATAAGAGGGCATACAGAAATATTTTTTCCCCTCTGTCTTCTTGTAGGAAAAGCTGTTGCTGGAGCCCATGTTTGAAGTGCCCAATTCTGACATCGTATGCGTGGAAGTTGACAAAGATGTTGTAGAAGGCAAAAAAGAGCCAGGATACATTAGGTAAAACCATAATGGAAGTATCAGACAAGTTGTACAGCTAGACAGGTATTCTGATGTTTGCTGTAGGAACAAACACACAACCTAAAAAAGATCCAATTCTCTGTATACTGTACACAGCTGAATTATTCTATCCTAGAGATTTTGGGTTTGTATTGTTTAGTTTTTAAATAGAAATTTAACAATAAACTTGTATATGAAGTTACGTTAAGCTTTTTGTGTGTGTGTGTATACCTGTAGAAATAGAAATAATTTATAAGCATTGTAAGTTAACAGTAAAAATCTGAAGTTTAATTGTGACTGTACTGAGGCTTCTGAAACAGGACTTTTTCCTTCCTCCTTCTACCGCTGAGGTGGTTTTTTAATACAAGCTTCAGGCTGCCACAATTTTCTCTTGCAGCAGTGGAGAGCCACAAAGGCACATCTGTTGATTTGCTGAACTCCTGTTAGCATAATCAATTTAATGATGTAAAGATTGCGTTATGATAATGATGTGGTGGAACGCTGAAAGCACTGGACAAATCTGTATATTAAAAAAAGAAACTCTTAATTTTAGTGAACAAAGGTTGGAGTTGAGAGGGTATGGGTCAGGTTAAAAACACAAGCCTGAAATTTAGGAACTCTGGCTTGGTTTCTGCCTCTGACAACTTTTTTTGAGTAGGTGCTTTGAATTCATCTGTGTCTGTGCTGAAGCTTGGCTGGGCATACCCAGTGTCTCAGAAGGGGATGGTTGGAGTAGACAGTATTGTGCCTACGCTGGTGCGTGCTTTAGGTGATTTTGTAGAGCATCAGCATTCACGTTTGCTGGAAATACTAAATTTACTGATGACTTAACTGAATTCGGTAGACTTTTGGTTTTCAGTGATGAGGCTGCATTCTGGCAGCAGTGCAAGTCTGCACTCAAGTTTCTCCATTTCTGAAGTATCTGATCAGTTCGTTTTAATTATAGGGCTCCCACTAAAGATTCATCTGAAGAAGAATATGACTCTGGCGTTGAGGAAGAAGGCTGGCCTCGACAAGCTGATGCTGCAAACCATTAAATACTGTCAGAATGCTCACCCACCTAAAGCGCACTTGGTTATTTCCTTATGATTGCCTCTGGCTGCAGTCTGATACTAAAGGCATTGGATCTATCTCGGATAGGATACGTGATGAGGAACTTTATTAGATAAATCAGGTCGTGTATTTTATTGCAACATCACGTTGATTTATTTGATGGACATTGTGTGGACTTGGATGGCATAATGTTCAAATATGAATTGTATATTACACTTGTTCGATTCAAATGTATAGCAAATACAGCAGCACCTGGATTGCTCTTCCTAGCAACTAAAACGGCAACACAGGTGCTGCCAATAGTTAGATTTTACAATAATGTTACTCTACAAATGGAAAATCAAGATTAATAATTAGTAGAGGGTGAATAAACTTATCAGCTCCTCATGGTTCACAGAGGGTTGCGTTCAGGTCAGTGTTAGATTTCTGCTGGTGTTTGAAACCCGATGGGTGCTGGAGTGACTTGTTACATGGAGGGGAAGCCCTTGCAACAGGATTTTGGAAAAACTGGGACACGCTTTATGAAGATGCTGGGAGATTTTGCTAACATGTGACACTAGTTTGTTACAGTAATTTGAATGCAATATCAATATCCTTTCCTTCACCTCTCCGTCAGGAGTATGCTTCAGTCACCTTGAGTACTGTGAAAGAAGGTGAAGTCAGTAATTTGCTATTTTTTTTGCAGAAGAGTAAACAAGATTTCTAGGAAGTGGTAAGCCATCTGAATTTGGCCGAGAAGTCAGCATAAAATTTTAAATATTAATGTTCTAATATAGTACATTTTGTTTAACGTATTGGAACTATCATGCATCAATTTTTTGGTGCCAGGTATTTGCCCAACCTATCTTATAATGGTAAGAGATGAAAGAAGTAAATGTATAATATTTTTGATGTAATGGGTAGTGATTGTTCACATGACACAGTGCGTTTTAAGTTATACGCTCAAATGCTAGTATTGCGTCTTGTGGTTTTGTCTTTGATTTTTAGTCTCGCAGCAGAGTAATTCTCCCTCTTCTGTTCTGCACCAAAATAAATTCAATCCTTTAGGCAAGTCTTTGTAAAAACACTAAAGGACCTGTATGTTTTTGATTCATTTCCAGAATTAAAATTGTTGCTTTCGACTTTGTTTTGCCCTTCAGTGATACGTGGACTTCAGTTTTACTGACCCCTTTTTCTTAAAAAAAATTATTTAAATGAAACTTTCGTCATTCTTTTCAGTCTAGTGGATGTTTTAGGACAGGAAGGGATACTACAGATGTGTTGACCCTATTTTTGTTAATTTTTGTCATGTAAATTTTATGTAATATGTGTGTTTTGACCTAGCAGCAGTGTGATGTGCAGTTGTAGGCAGATCATTCCCTTAGGGTTTCAGGTTTTTTCCAAGTTACATTTTCAGGTTAAATCACCCACTAATGGTTCAGAAAAAGCTGCGTTCGGAGTTCAGGATATTTCTAGGAGAAGCTTAGTCCCCTCAAAATGAGAATCTGTGGTGAACTGTCTGTACCTGCATCCTCACTGTCCTTTTTGTAGAGTGGAAAAAAAGTGCAACCGCTTTTAATTCTGACTCCTTTAATTCAGATCCTTTTTTAAATGGATGGAAAGAATCCCCCCAGTATTTTAGGCGAAACCCTTCAACAACTTAGTTTTGAAAGTTGTTTGCAATTATGTAACCAAGAACTGTTTTTAAGGAAACAAAATGCTGTGTAACTACAGTTTGTACTTCACCTCTGGCGTTTGAATAAAACAAAGCGAATAATCAAACAGCTCAGAGTTGTCATCCCTGACGTCAGCCCCACCAATGTTAAATTTTATGGGTATTTGGAGCTTTCGAGGCTCTTTTTTT